CGCCGAGACCCCTGCTTCACCTGTTTTATCTCGAAGATGACGCCCGAGGGGGTTGAAGGCGAGGCCGGCCTCCACGATTCAAGCCACAACATAACAAGGACCATTTCCGACTCTAGCTTTTTCAGGGAGCATCGGGCGTCTACGCTCCCTACTCCGGCCGAGGTGAGAGCCATCAACGAGGAGTCAGGCAACATCCGTGGTACAAGATTCAACCGACCCCCGCCTGTCAAGTTTTCATCGCTGGGCCTGATTGTCAAATATGGAGCCGACACAACCGTTACAGAGGCAGAGACCCAAAATATGGTATACAAGCAGTTGAAAGGCAAAGTACCAGTTCCTGAGGTGTTTGGGTGGACCGAAGACGGTGGCCAAGTATTTATCTACATGTCTTTGATAAGGGGTGAACCCTTGGAGCAAAGATGGGGTGCTTTGAACGATGAGGAGAGAGAGGCTGTCTGTAAAGAGCTCAACGGCATGGTCAAGGCCTGGAGATTGTTAGAACAGCCCGATCAAGTCCTTTACTTGGGCAAGTGATTTGAATTCATTGCGGTAGCTAGGCAGAACTATGCTAAAGTAACCCTTAGGTGGCCTAGATAATCAACCTCTAAATGACATCTTTCTTTCCAGTCACCGGGACTTGGCTGGCCCATTCCACGGTGCAGACGCCGTCCAGAAATTTCAGAATGGCTGCGATATCGAGATTGATGGGGAGGTGCCCGTGGTCTTCACGCATGACGACCTTGTGCCCCCAAATATCCTTTTATCGCCCGGGACGAATCCAGGAGTAGCTGCCATCATTGATTGGGGCCAGGCAGGGTGGTATCCTGCTTACTGGGAGTATTGCAAGGCGCGTCGCGTCAGGCCGAATCCGGAATATTTTGATGAAGACTTGGATGAAGAATGGAATACGAGATACCTGCCAACTATTTTGGACCCGGTCGATGATGAGACAGTATACCACCCTTGGCTGTGGTTTGTCTTGTCCAAGGGTATCTAGTTATGCGAATGAAGATGCTCATTAGGACTATACAGCCGTGGGTAGATAGAAAATATACCTTATAAATTTTACATGTATTCTGGCCCTTAGGTCATGGGCACATACGGTCAGGCCGACTGCGGTCAAAAAAAATACCTCGTACATACCACACTCATCGCGCATAGCTAGATCAAATATCCATCCTCTCGTCTATTTACCGCTTGTTGTCTAACCAGGCTCGCTAAGCGCTTCCCATAGTTTACTCCTTGCCGCCGCTCCAAACCGCTCCAACCTGCCCTTCCCCAAAACCATAGACCGCGGATACTCACCTAGAACATCCTCACCCAGAATAAGATAAGCCAACATCTACACCGTCTAAAATACCCTAACCATGCTGATCCCCTGGTACACAGCACAAACCCACTGGTGACCGGAATTCGCGAATAGAAGCATTCCAATAAAATGATTCCTATTAAGCATGAACGCGACAGATCCGCTCCACGCGTGTATTTATGTCCATCTTATTAGACTTAAAATTAAATAGAAGAGGTGTTGTTCATAAAAACAGATATAAAAGAAGGTTCTTCTTATTATTACTTGTTGCTTGCTAGCTAGTATTCACACGCCTGATTATAAAGGCCCTATTGGGGCGCTAGATTATGTAGTTATAGTCATGTTTACTATAGTCGAGCCAGAAGAAGTTCTTTCTAGGGAGGGCTGCTAATAATAAATAAGGGACTTGTTACTATATATCGGCACACACAGGAGAGATAAACAGGTAGAGCTCTCGGATCGCTTGAGATAAAGAGTTGTGATAGCGATCGAGAAGGCGAAACAGTGTGTTGGGCTGCACTCGCAGCTCTGCCTCTTCTCGCGCCTGTCTCTCCTCCTCAAGCTGAAGTCGTAGCTCGGCGATTGTTTCTTCCATCGCTTGTTGAAATCACTATTCAGCAAATAATCGAATGATGCAAATCGAAGTCAACATAGTAGGGGGTTCGCTGTCTGGCGCAGGGGAGTGGCCCGTCAGGGCGGAATGCGTCCAGATGTTTACCAACCAGCTTACTCACCCCCTTGGCTCGAGTTGATTCATGCCTCAGGCACCAAGAGCACCAACACGCTTTGGCCTTTTGATGTGCTGACGTTCAGAGTCTTTTGATTTCTGGAATATACGTCGACTCGATGGCTTCGGATTACCTAGACCGGCCTCGTCAGTAGATAGATAAATTCAGTCCTACTTTGAATTCCTCAGCAAGTACAGTCACCGTGGCGAGGTCATTATCTCGATTACATCACTTGCGAGACCCCGTTTCCGTTCTTCAATAAAAGCCTCCTGCTGCGAAGGATATATTGTGTGATCTCACTGTGGGTAAGACATTCGACGAAGCTAGTAATCAGCGAAAGTTCTTCTGATATAGAATGAATAGGCTCATTCTCTCATTCTCCGTCTGTTCTGCGGAACACACTTCCGTATGCTCTGAGTTTTGGGGATTAGACGTCACGCAGTCACTCGCCAACGGACCTCATGGAAAGCAAAGAGACGTACCTTCCCTGTCTGGGCACTTGAATCTCTCGTCAGGAAATGAATCTATGAGCGAGACAAATTGAGCTGCCTTCACTGACAAAACCTGCAACGGTCATTTGCTAGAGAATGCCAGGAGAGCCGACGTCTGACGAGGTATTTATAGGTGTGGGGCTTGCTTGATGATGATGATGATGGTCTCTGATTGAATTGTCAGTTTTGAGCAGGCATTGATGGAAAAGTGGATGGTCCTCTCCCTGATTTTCCTACCTGGCTAATTTTCCCCCTCCTATAAGAGGACCCGACATCGCGCGAGATATTTATAGGCGAAAGGCTTTATTGATTGCGGTAGTCCTTGATTGAGTCCTCAAATTGAGGCGGGCGTTGACGGCAAAGTAAATGAACAGGATCAAGCTTTCCAACAGAAAAAGGGAAGAAAAGCTGATGGGACGATTTCTCGGATCAAAAATGACCTTCCTCTCCATCAGTCGAAACTTGGTGGAGCACCCTTAGGTTAAAGCAACCGCGTTGTTTGCCTCATTTTCAATACTCCCACCTAGTTCAACGTTCTTCTCCCACAACAAATTGAGCTTGAAAGCAACTAAGAATATACAACCAAAACTCACCGCTACTGGAATTTTCAAAGCTTGAAGCATTGTCCATATTGCTTCACCACAGATGAGTTCATTATTGGCCCAACAACAAATTGTTCTTCCTCTAGGCATCTGATTTGGACTAGTGGCACTCTGAGTGCTGCTGAGAGAGGCCAATTCACATCACATCGGCTTTCGGCCGAACTAATATTCTAAGCCGTTCTTCACGGCTGAAAAAAACCTCACCGTAGCCAATACCCCCAAACTTATCATGATCCGCCTCAAAGCTGTAGTCCTACTAGCCTGACATGTAGTGATGGGGAGTCTTTGCTCCAACCACTTTCCATCTTCCAGAAGTCTACAAAGGCAATAGGAGTTCCTGTATTATCTTGCTCTGTCAGAGTTCAGCATGTATAGTAGCTTAAGGTGTTTGGTCGCCGACCAAACATTGTGCCTTTTTGGCCTGTGAGTCTAGTGGGATCCCTGACATGCCCCCGTAGAGTTCCCCGGCACGATCCCTGTGCCTCCCGGGAAGTGTTACGACAGTTCCCAGAGGACCAGAAGCTCCTGTGAACGGGTGGTTGTGTCTCCAGGACCCAAGGTAGAGAGTCCAGGAGCGAGCTGGCTCGCTCCCGGGAGTGACAGGTACAGTTCCTGGAGGACGTTTAGCTCCTAGAAGCCGATAGCATAATCCTAGAAGCGATAATTGAAAAGAATAGACGTTGAAGTTTTCCTGGAGCATACCCTAGAGAAGGTTCCCTCACTCAGCCTGTTGACCAGAAAAACAGCTAGCTGAGTTCAAACCTGAACAAGACAGGCAAACCCAATTATGTGTGGCGGGCGGTGTTGAGAGATTGACGGGCCGCTCATTTCCGTACTGACGGATAATTTTGGTGGTATTGCTTTCAATCGTTTATTGCTGTAAATGCGCATGTCAGCCACGAAGGAAGTTCATGGTGAACGATTTCACGTTTAGTAAAATCATTGAACAAATTTTTTGAATTAAATTATTACTGCTGGGTGAAACTAGCGGGCATTTGATCACCACTTTAGCAGCAAGTGAAGGATGGTGTTTAATAGTTTTCATTGGCCTGTTTGTCTCCACTAATCTCAAGGTCTGTGCATCTCCTATTACCCTGCCACACCCCCAGTCTACCAGTAAACGGCATAGCTCATGTGCTGTGAGATATTCCCGTTAGCTTGGGTTACATATTAGGAGAGCTAGGTGATAATAACCCTGATAGCACAATTAATCAGAGAAACTCCAACGGGTTACTCATGTGGATATATATCCAGGACTGTTAGTCAAGCAAACCACCAAGGTTCTCGTTTAGCCCCCAAGAGATACTTCGGTCAACTAGGGAGCTGATTGAAATATACTCCTTTGAGTCATTGAATATCAGAAACTTGCTCATGGCCCCATTGGAACCAGATATAGATCCCCTAATAATACTAGCATACAAGGTACTTCGGAGCTAGGTCCTCAATCGGGTCCAACTGTCTGCATGGACCATCTGATCGAGGCTCTAACGAACGAGATAGCAAGTATTACACACGTCCAGGAATTTAACCAGTGAACCATTCTTAATTTCTTATTGTAATCAGTAATGATCGATGGCCAGTCTCAGGTTCACCATTACATAAGCACCAGCCCCTCCAACCTCTCCACCGCTTTCCCAACCCGGCGGACTTCACCCTGGGTCGATGAATCATGAGGCGTTGTGGATTTAGCTTTTCCGTGCGGCTGCCTGGAAGTGCAACTTTAACTCTGTATAGTTCCAATTGAATTCGCAGTTGATGCAACTCCAGCGCAATTCGAGGGATCACTATCTACGTCTGCCAGCCGTGGAGGTCCGGGTTGATATCGGACGAAGGGCCCACGTGACCGGCCCCTCCCTCCTTAGGTTGGCCAATGACGCCGGCGCCAAAAAACGGGTCAGCCCAAAAATCCAACCCCCAAGGTCCTCAAAAACGCGACGAAAAGTCTTCTTTGACGTCGAGATGGCACCCGCTTTTCCTCCAAGGTCCTCCGCCGCTGCAACCCAACCCCAAGTGGGAGACATTTCCGTCACCATGTCGCCCCTCCGTCCTCCCTCTTCTCCTCTCCCCTCCCATTCCTCGCCCATTCTGTCCTGGGGTCCTAGCCTTTTGTCTCGTGGGTAGTCAACTCGACCCTTGTGCTCTGTCCGGTGTCTTGCCTCTCCGTATCGGCTTCATTCCGTCTCCGAGTCACCCACCCACACCAACACCGACAGACTCGAAGCAACAACCTGCACGTAATCCGACGGAGATACCCGACTCGCACTACACCCCAAGGTCCTCATCTGTCATCTCAATCCCTGTTGGTGCCTCGCTTGGCCGGTCTCGAGCGACACTAAGCAGACGTCTAAAGTGGACCGCCAGGGACCTTGAGGACGGTCAAAACTTGCTGTGTGGCCTGGTCGCACAACAGGAAGCCATATAAAAGCACGCGGCAAGAAAAAACCAAGACGACCAAGAATTACCAAGAAGCACCAAGCATTCGGGTAATTGCATTCTTGCGCGTTTTCTCGGCCTGTGCTCTTTGCCCACGTTTTTCTCTTGGGCGATCTTGCATTCCTCGTCCCACACCTCGACTCAATTCTATTGGACTATCTGGCATATTTCGACAAGGCTCCTGAATTCAAGGGCATCTGTCATACATGTCAACTGCTGGTCTGTGCTGTAAACAGTTCGATTCGAGTCTTGTGCGTGTACATCCCCCGCCGAGGACCAATTGTATCCATTGGCGGACATGTCACTTCTCCATACGCTCCTCGCCCGAGACGAGGATTCAGGCCCTGCTCCTGCCTGTGACACCGGCAACGAGTATGATGGCCGGATGGGTCTGCGTATCTCCTCGATCTTCGTCATCATGATCGGCTCCATGTTCGGCGCCTGCTTTCCCGTTCTTGCCGGCAGTTATCGCCATTCAAAGGTCTTCGGATGGGCCTTTTTCATCGCCAAGTACTTCGGTTCCGGTGTCATCATCGCCACGTCTTTCATCCATCTCTTGGCCCCCGCACATGAGTCTCTCACCAACGAATGTCTGACCGGCCCGATTACGGAATACGATTGGGTCGAGGGCATCGTTCTCATGACCATTGTGGTGTTGTTCTTTGTCGAATTGATGGTTATGCGCTACGCTCGATTTGGCCAAAATCACTCCCACGATGAGTTCGACGGACATGGTCACGACGACGACTCCGTTCAGCACAGTGCGGAGGTCGCCGACTCCAAGACCCACATGCCCGGTGAAGACCACCTCGGCCACTCGCGCGAGCACAAGGACCTGGAGGCGGGCGCGAAAGCCGCCGCGCTGGAGGAGTACATGGCGCAGCTGACGTCTATCTTCATCCTGGAATTCGGCATCATCTTCCACTCTGTCTTCATCGGACTGACTCTGGCAGTGTCCGGCGCGGAGTTCGTGACGCTGTACATCGTTCTGGTCTTCCACCAGACCTTTGAGGGCCTGGGTCTGGGATCCCGGTTGGCCGAAGTACCCTGGCCCCGTTCGAAACGCTGGACGCCGTACTTCTTGGGCATTGGCTTCGGGTTGTCCACTCCTATTGCCATCGCCATCGGACTGGGAGTGCGCAACGCCTATCCTCCGGAGGGAAAAACGACGTTGATGGTCAACGGCATTTTCGACTCGATTTCCGCGGGTATCCTCATCTACACGGCGCTTGTGGAACTCATGGCGCACGAATTCATGTTCAGCCGGTCGATGAAGAAGGCTCCCATCGGGCACGTCCTGGGCGCGTTCGGTCTGCTTTGCCTGGGTGCTTTGCTGATGGCCTTGCTTGGAAAGTGGGCTTAAAAATATGAAAAGGGGGAGATTGAAGAATTTCGATGTATATATTATCTATGTCGGTGTGAATTTATCTCCGGGATTTGGGATAGATCAGGTAAATAATGGGTTTCAGTTCGTGGAAATCTATCTCCATGTTTGGGGGGATAGGTTAGGTAAATAATGACTTTCAACTTTACTACAATCTTGTCGCTCATCTCTCGTCTCTCGTCTCTCGTCTCTCCATAAACGTATAATGGGAAGCTTACTTCCACAGCAGCACCGGCTTGATGACCTTGGTCGCTTTCATATCCTGAAACGCGGTCTGATAGTCCTTGATGTCATAATAACTGATCAACTTGTCGATGGGAAAGCGACCCTTTGCGTGTTCCTCGATCAAGAACGGAATAAACTATCCTCAGTTAGCTTTCTTGACCAACAACGAGAAAGGAAAAGAAACTCACCGTCTTCGCATCCACATCCCCCTCCGTACTCCCCACATACTCCCTCCCCATGATCAAATGTTGAAAGATATCGATCGCGACCGTCGATCCAGGCTTCGGCGCCCCCACCGTGGCCCCCCTGCCCTTCGTGCCGAGACACTTCACCATCGTCTCAATCACCCTGGGAACCCCCGTTCCATCCATCGCAAACTGCGCCCCGTTCGCCGGCTCACAGATCTTCTTAATCTGTCCATCTACATCCTCGCTCTTCCCGTCGATCACATGCGTCGCGCCTAACTCCTTCGCTAGCGCCAATCTCCCTTCATTCAAGTCCACCGCGATAATCGTCGTCGCGCCCGCCATAACACCAGCCATCACCCCCGCCATACCTACAGCCCCGACACCAAAGACCACAAGCGAGTTGTCCCTCGTCACACGGAGCGTGTTCAACACGCACCCAGCCCCAGTCTGGAACCCGCACCCCAGCGCCGCGAACAGCGGCAGGTCCGTCTCCTGCGGAACCTTGACGATACTCGCCCCGGAGACGAGCGCCCGACGCATGAACGAGCTCTGCCCGAAGAACGTCCCGTACATGGGCGCTGCGCTGTTCGGGTCGTAGAGCGTGGCGCTCCCGTCGAGGCGCTTTCCGGAGAAGTTTAACGGCGCCCAGGTGGCGCAGTAGGCGGGGTGGGAGGATTTGCAGTTAGTGCAGTTTCCGCAGTGGTTGAAGGACAGGAGGACTTTGTCGCCTGGTTTGATGTGTGTGAGCAAGGGGCCGTTTTGGAGGACGGTTCCGGCGCCTTGTACGTTTCGAGGGGATTAGCATTTCGTTACGGTTACTGGTGTTCGTGTATTTGGTGGGAAGTTGTTGGGAAGGGAGGGAGAGAGAGAGGTAAGTACTCACCTTCATGGCCGAACACGTTGGGAAAGCCGGCGGGGATGGTCCCGTCCGTGCAAGATCTGGTCATCATGGGTTAGTTTCGCTGACTAGACGATTGAACTAGAAAAGCAGGAAGAGGGAGGAGAATGTGAGGCATACAGATCGGTATGACAGACGCCGCTGGCCTCAATTTCCACGATCGCCTCGTCGGGCCGCATCTCGTCCAGCATCACGTCCTCGAGAACTAACGGCTTGTTGAGCCCGTGGCATACTAATGCGGGTGTGGTGATTGTGGACATGATGTGATATGACTATGACTTTGTCTGAGTCGGGGAGGTAACGTTGGATTTATACAGAGGAGGGTACAGTATGTGTATGTATATGCAAGGGATGAATTAGAAGCTGACCAAGATTATGGACTAGGATCAAGCTCTACGTGATAGGCTGGATAGGGACGCCATATATAGCATCACTACGACAATATGCGTCTATGACCCAGGATACCTAAAGTACCGTGACCTCCATCCGACCCGAAAACACGGTATCGCCATCGGCAGCTTTGTCACGCACAGATACCAATTAAGGTTGACCCGGCTCGGTCAGCTCTGGATGGGCATACTACCTCCGACAGCGTGTAGTTGATCCTGTAGAGCGCGGAACTATAGCGGAGGTGAAATTAGGGGAGGGGTATCTGGGATCCGCGTTTTCAAACCCCGCGGGGAAGGAATCCAGATCCCCTCCTAGCTCTATCGTCCTATCAACAGACAGAAAACGGGGCATAAAGATGCATCGGAAGTGAAAATCGGCAGTCGGAAGGTTGCAGCAACTCCGCCTCCCCGCATTCCCGCTCCACTGAACCATTGACGTCTGCTGCTGGTCGGGCCAAGGGATCTTCACTTTCTTTGTCCCAGGCCCCAGAGCCCCGAGTCCGACTCCTACTGCAGGCGAAACTCTGGTTACCTTCTGACGGCTGACCCAAAAATGAATTGGATGTTCTCTCACCGGAATGGCCATTCGGTAGTTTGGTGGGGATCGCTCAGCTCGGGATTCCTCCATCGTTGGAAATCGACGATCTCTGGGCCTGCGGTGGAGACAATCGCCCTCTGTGTCGTGGCCGAAACAGAAACTACTGGAAACTAAAACCTTTGCATTATTAACTCGGATTGGAAAATGGAAATAGGCTTGGATTTTCATAAAAAAGGGGGTTTCGGTCGCGGGGTTATTCCTTTTTTCCTTTCTTCGGACTTTTTCCTATCTTTTTCTATTTTTTGTTGCCAATTGAACTTTTTGACCTTTTCTCTCTCTGTCGCTCTCCTGCTTCACTCTCTATTTCTTAGCCCTCATACCCATACCTACCAGACAAGATGTCCTTCACCCAGGTTCCTCCAGGTGCCCCAGTGCCCCTCATCATCAACAACAAGAACATCTCCACGGATATCCAATTCGACGTCACAAACCCCGGCACCGGTCAGGTCGAGCATCAATGCAGCTCTGCCTCCGCTAAAGAGGCCACCGAGGCCGTCGAGGCCGCGCAGGCCGCCTTCCCGGCGTGGTCGCGCACGAAGCCCGACGCTCGCCGCGACATCCTGCTGCGCACCGCGGACGTCTTCCTCGAGCGCAAGGAGGAGTTCCTGCGGTACATGGTTGAGGAGACCGCCGCCGAGCAGATGTACAACGAGTTCATCTTCCAATTGGGTGTGAATCTGCTGCGGGACGCCGCTGGTAAGATCTCGGGCATTGTGGGCACCGTGCCCACGATTGCGGGGGAGGGCGAGAGCGCCATCATCTACAAGCAGCCGTACGGTGTTATCTTGGGAATTGCGCCGTGGTAAGTCCTAGTCCAGTGCCCGTGTCGCATGGTGTAGCAGCTAAGACATGCTCAGGAACGCCCCCTATATTCTTGGAACCCGCTCCGTCGCTCTGGCCCTGGCGGCCGGTAACACTACCGTCCTGAAAGGTTCCGAGCTCTCGCCCAAGTGCTTCTGGGCTATCGGCGACGCCTTCCGCCAGGCAGGTCTGCCCGATGGCGCTCTGAACGTCATCTACTCGCGGCCGCAGGACGCCGTGGAGGTGACGACGACGCTGATCGCGCACCCGGCGCTGAAGAAGCTCAGCTTCACGGGTAGCACGGCGGTGGGACGCAAGATTGGTGTGATTGCGGCGCAGCACATCAAGCCGGTGATTCTGGAGTTGGGCGGTAAGGCGCCGACCGTCGTGCTGGAGGATGCGAATCTCGAGAAGGCGGCGTTGGGAGCCGTCTTGGGGTCGTTTATTCATGTATGTTCCATTTCCCATTGTCGAACTGTATAGGTTACTTGCATCGGGCCCCCGAAGCTAACACTACAATAGTCCGGCCAAGTCTGCATGTGCACGGAACGCATCATCGTGCACCGCTCCATCGTGGACCAATTCCGCCCCGTCCTGAACGCCACGATCAAGCACATCGCGGGCGGTGGCAGCGGCGAGGTCGTCGTGATCAACGCCGCGGCCGTGACCAAGAACCGGAACCTGGTGCGCGACGCCGTCGCTAAGGGCGGCAAGGTGATTGCCGGCGACCCGGACGCCCCGACGGCCTCGGATACGCGTCTGGCGCCCATCGTCGTCGAGGGCGTCACCCGCGACATGGACATTTACGCAGAGGAGTCTTTCGGACCCACGGTGTCGTTGTTCGTTGTGGATAGCGACGAGGAGGCCGTGGCGCTGGCGAATGATACCGAGTACGGGCTTAGTGCGGCGGTTTATACCGAGAACTTGGCCCGGGCGTTGAAGGTGGCTAAGGGAATTGATTCTGGGTGAGTTTTTTTTCCCTTCTCTTCGTTACTCTCTTTCGAGGGGTTCTGGTCTAGGATCAAAGCTAATGGAATGGATAGGGCTGTGCACATTAACTCGATGACGGTGCATAACGAGTCGGTGCTGCCTCACGGCGGTGTTAAGAACAGCGGATTCGGACGATTCGGATCCGACATGTTGGAGGAGTTCCTGTGGACGAAGTCGGTTACGTGGATGGATTAGATGTTGCATGTTTTGTCTTTTTCTAGCATATATTTCAGGGTTACGAGTATATAATATCATTACGAGAGATTTGCCTACGGGCATTCCACCACCAACACGTCCAATTTAATTTTGTAGGTGATGTATTAGATATCTGTAGGAAGATGGCGATGAATATGGAATAGGAAGTAGAAGCCTAGATTAGTGGTGAATTTACCCAGAGTATAGGATCATTTCACTACGATTCTATCATGTTATATTAACTAGCCCCAGCTATCGACTTCACTGAATGCTATACTATCACTGCAGGAGGGAATGTCTGGCTACTATCTGAATCCCCCTTTCTTCCTCTACTTCTTCTATCTTCATCATCTTCATCTTCTCTGACCCAGAGAAACACCATCTTGTCCATGAGCGCTACACCGTCTGTCTCTATTATGTGCATCCCTTGATACATGCATATGGGGATAGAGCATATCTATAGCCCACATAGACACTGGAAATACCGGAAGAAAACAGGGACTTTTCATTTCGTCTGGAATGACACCTCAAAGTACGCTTTCCTTTCCTTCCTTGCTTACGTATACGTATCTTGTCGACATATCGATTTTCATACCTATCCAAGACTAATCAATGCTTTTAGATGTGTCACATTTGCAATGGCTGTAATAAGAGCGACGGCACCAGCACCAGCATAGCAGATACAGAATACATCA